ACATACACACACACACACACACACACACACACACACACACACACACACACACTTACACGAACATGAATGCATGTGCACACACGCCAAGCTTGTACAGAGTAACCTTGCTGTTAAGAATATTAAGTGAGGTGCTAGGCCTTGTGCACAGCAGGCACAAATACTTGTCTCTTCCTTGCCCACTTAACTAAGAACTTAAACTGCTCCTGTTGCCTAAGAAGACCCTGGCAGGGAAGGTGGTGTGCCTCGCTTCATCTTGCCTCACCTTTGATACCTGAGTGTGAAAGCACTTCTCACCACAGAACAGTCTTTCAGAGCACACTTTGCAAAGTGGGAAGGGCCCCCCGAGAGGAGAAGTTGCGGCTGCCTGGACTGTGGCACTCCAGGGAAGGTGGGCTGGGGAGCTGTGAAACAGCCTTAGTGATTTTGCACGCTGCTGCCCCAGCTCTGCAGCCTCGGCATGGCAGGAGGACTTGAGAATCATCTTTAAAAATTGACTGAGTCTCCCATCCAAGTACTAACCAGGCCCGACCTGGCAGTTTAGTGTCCAAGTGGCTTACATAGTGATGGGAAGAGGGACTGCCTCTGACATAAACTGATTGGCCTGCTCTTTGATCACCTCCCCCTGAGGGGGGAGCAGCCTTACCAGGCCACAGAAGAAGACAATGCAGCCATTCCTGATGTGATCTGATAGACTAAGATCAGAAGGAAGGAGAGGAGGACCTCCCCTATCAGTGGACTTGGGGAGGGGCATGCGTGAAGAAGGGGGAGGGAGGGTGGGATCAGGAGGGGAGGAGGGAGGGGCTTATGGGGGGATACAAAATGAATAAAGTGTAATTAATAATAATAATAAAAAGAAAAAAAAACAACAAAAAAAAAGAAGATAATAAAAAAAAAAAGTGACTGAGTCAGGCAGGACGACGGCTCAGCGGTTAAGAACACCGTGTCTTCCAGAGGTCCTGGCCTCAGTTTCCAGCACCTACACGACAGCTCACAGGTGTCTGTGACTCCAGTTCCAGGTGATCTGACACCCTCACACAGACATGCAGGTGGGCAACACCAGTGCACAGAAAACAAAGTAAGTACATAACTGTTTAAAAGTGACTGAGTTGAGGACACTGATCCAGTCAGACTTATGGGCCTTCCAAGGAGAAACGGTGTGAAACAGAAGGTCACAGTGTGGCGTTAGCCACCTGCAAGCCGAGGACACAAACCTGCTTGCACTTTGCCACTCTAGAGCTTCGAGGAAATATTCGTTGTTTAAAGCCCTCCGGCCTGGCCATGGCACACAGCCTGGATACACTGGAGCAGCAGGGCTTTAACTCCGGGCGTCCCCGAGTCCACAGGCTGGAGTGTGGTGGCCCGAAGTCCACTCTGGTTGGAACCACCATCTCTCCCGCTGAGTCCTGGTGGCTTGCAGACAAGCCAGGGGTCAGCAGTGCCAATTTCAGAGAGGGCCACTTGGGTAGGAGTGAGAAGCCCAATGTCGCCCAGCATGGAGTGGGAAGCCCAGCTGAGCTGGTTGGCTTGAGCTGGCCTCAGCCCCACCTGGGCTCCAGAACCTGTCTGGTGGTCGAGTCCAGCTCACTGGGTGGGACATCACTGACCATGCTTTGCTTCTCTTCTGGCTGCTTCAGGCTCGTCCAGTCCCTGGTGCTCAGTCCTACACCATAGGCAAGGCCATCCCCCTCATCTGTCGCGTGTCAGGCTGGCTGGGCACCTCTCCCTGCGCTACCTCAGCTGGGGTGTGATTGATGCCTGGTGTGGTGCATGGCGGGCTCTGCAGCCCACGCCTGACTGCCTTAGATGGCTCTCATGTTCCCAGGCCGTGTGCTGTAAAGCCACATGCAAGGTTTGGCTCAAGCCATCGCTTGTGTTTGCTGCTTAGAGAAATGCCAGAAACAGAGGAGGGGTGCTTAGAAACAGTTGGTGAAGTTGGCACACGGTAAGTCTGCCCTTTGCAGGACTTTGGGCCTGGTCTCTGAAAACACACAGTGTGCGGCAAGGGGGCCCTTGGTCGGCGTCCTCAGTGCAGCCACAGAGGACCTTCAGAGAGCTCCCTGGGTAACTCGAGCTCTCTCACACCATCCTTCACCCCTGAGTCTGGGGTCCTCTGACCCACACCCTGAGAAATGTCACCTCCCTGGGTCTGCCTTTACCCGTCCTCCTCTCTCACAGTAGATGAACTGTTCTTTGTGGTCCACGAAGTGTCCCAGGCGTCTTCCTTCATGCCCCCGGAGGCTGCCAGCTTCTCTTGCCTGGGTGTTGAGCCCTTGGTCGTAGGAGTCTCACCTGAGTCTCTCTGGCTTAAACACAGGCCTCATCCCTACCTCCAGTTCTCTTGCCGGCAGAGACACTCAATAAAGCTCACATCCCCTCAAGCCCACTGGCTTCTGGGCTCCCAGACATGCTGGCACTCTCCTCTGGTTTGAACTGACAGCTCTCGTGCTGCTCCCCCTGGAAACACATCACTGCCAGGTTTGCAGCACACCGTCCTCCCTTCCTTTCTGCTCCTGGCGTGTGTGTGCCTGTGTGTGTTTGTGTGCCTGCAGAGCTGCTATGTGACGTCCTGAGTGAGCCACAAGGCAGCAGTGTTAGGAGGCAGGGCCTTAGAGCGGTGCTTCACTCATGTGGGCAGAGCAGCTTGGTGAATGGTTAGGGTCCATTTAAAGGAGGTCAGAGGCGTCTGGTGTGGTGGCACACGCCTTTAGTCCTAGCAGTCCAGACAAGGCGGATCTCTGCTCTCACAGAGAGCCCCAGGCCACACAGAGCTCTCTCACAGGGAGACAGAGGGACTAGACGGAGGGAGCTGGGCTGAACCTCTCCTTCCATGTGAGGGTACAATGTAAAGGAGAGCATGGACCAGGACTCGGGTGCTCTTGGGGTTGTGGATTTGCCGGCTCCTTGATCTCGGACTCCTACCTCGAGAATTACGAGATAGCAGGTTCTGTTGTGTAGAAGCCGCTCAGCCTGTGGCATTTTTATTACAGCAGCTCAGACTGCCTAAGGCGGGAATCAGAGGTCACGCTCAGGGCTCCATGGTGTGGAGTCAACACAGCAGATTCCAAAGGAGTGGCCAGCAGATGCACCCTCTCATTCCGAGCTCTGCATCCCGAGATCTTCACATCCAGGGCCCTCACATCCATGGTCCTCACATCCCTAGCTCCTCACATCCATAGTCCTCACATCCATAGTCCTCGTATTATCCATGGTCCTCATATCATCCATGGTCCTCATATCACCCATGGTCCTCACATCATCCATGGTCCTCACATCCATGGTCCTCACATCCATGGTCCTCACATCCATGGTCCTCATATCATCCATGGTCCTCACATCCATGGTCCTCACATCCATGGTCCTCATATCATCCATGGTCCTCACATCCATGGTCCTCACATCCATGGTCCTCACATCATCCATGGTCCTCATATCATCCATGGTCCTCACGTCATCCATGGTCCTCACATCATCCATGGTCCTCACGTCATCCATGGTCCTCACATCCATGGTCCTCACATCCAAGGTTCTTACATCCTTAGGTTTTACTAGTAAGGCCGGTGTTTCTTCTCCAATTAGAACTCTGCAGGGGGCTGGGACTTGGGGTGTGGGCCCAGGTCAGCCTGCCTCTGTGGCTTCTAGCTGGGTACCTGGGAGAGTGTGCAGCACTCATGGCCCGGTGTCTCTCCTGGGTAACAGGGTCCCTCTGGCTTGCTGTGAGGGGTGGCTAACCCAGGTAGCATGTGAGGCATGCTATGTATGCGGTAGCATGTATGCTGGTCAGTAGCCTCCCGTGTGTGGGACTCTGTAAATACTCCCCTCTCCTGAGGGGATCGCTATGTATGCTGGTCAGTAGCCTCCCGTGTGTGGGACTCTGTAAATACTCCCCTCTCCTGACTCAAGAACTTTCTGTTGTGCATATATCACCATATATCGGCTTCATTTTTCTCAGAAGCACGCCTGTTTCTTACTCAGCCAGTAGCCTCGTGATCATTTGTTAATATTTTCTGAACGGGTAAATATTATAAAAACACAAGGAAGAGCAGGAAACCTCAGCTTTTAAACATGTCCGTTTTTATTATTTTTGATCTGTGTATGTGTGTCTGCAGGTGGCTGTGTGCACATAGTACAGGTGCCCAGGGAGGTTAGGCACACGAGAGCCCTGGGCTGGGTGTGAGTTCCCTGACAGGCCGCTGGGGACTGAACCTGCGTCCCCTGAAGCGCTCAGCTCCCAAGGCACCTCAGCAACCCGAATTCTCTCATTTCTTGATTTGAACACTTTTGCTCTGTCCTGAGCTTTCGCATGTGCTGAACAAGCTGTTGTGGGCTCTGAGGTCCACTGCGGTTAACGCTGCATCTGGAATGGGAGAGGGTGGCTTACCTGTATGGCACGTGTATAGCCGTGTTCTGCCCAAATGTGTCTAAGTGTGCCACATTCATGTATGCACAGTCCAGAAGGTGCCGGACCCCTGGGACAGGAGTGACAGGCAGTTGGGAGTGGCCATGTGGGTGCTGGAGACTGAACCTGGGTCCTCCAGAAGAGCAGCCTATGCTCTAACCACTGAGCCATCTCTCCAGCCCCTTAAAAAAAGGTTCTAACTGTCATGTTCAAGCATAGTATCTGCAGATTAGAATTCATTCTGTAAAAGGAGTCAGCAGAGCTGGAGCGATGGTGCCCTTCAGAGAACCTGGGCTCAGTAGGCTTAGTACCCAGCATGCATCTGGTGTCTCTCAACCATCTACAGCTCCAGCCTGCGGGATCCAGCGCCCTCTCCTGGTTTCTAGGAGCACAGCTGACAAGTGCTGTCAGACAAAATCCCCAGGCACAGGAAGTAAGGAAATAACAAATTAAAAGGAGGTAGCAGTTTAAAGTAAGCCATTATTAAATGCTCCCACCCTCAGAGTCTCCAAAATATTTCCATGACAGTAGCTTCAGACAGTCTGGAAGTCCTTGCACGTTTTCCACTGGAGTTACGTCTCCGTTTGCTCTTTTCCCTCCTCAGGTGTGGCTGGATCTCCTGAAGCCCATTGTGAAACAGATTCGAAGTAAGTACACCTTCACGCTCACAGTGGAGAGCCGGGCGGTTGACTTTCATGCGGAGTGTCTTCCTGACTGTGACATGAAACAGAGAGATACAGATTTCCTGTTCCCCGTGACAGCTTGCCATCGCTCACTAATCCACAGACTATTAAAACATGTACCTTCCCCCAGTTTCATATGTGATATAAGCGAGGTATTCAGGACCTCGCTTGGGAAATCATGATCAATGAGTAATGGCTGCCACCAGACCGGGAGGTGTGAGCGGTGTGCTCCGTGCTGCTTGCTGCTTTTACTGCCGTGTTCTCCGGGGAAGGGTGCAGGCCTGTTCACGAGATAGACTGGAGATTTTCTAATTTCCGTCTTCAGAGCCTGTGAAATTAGAATGCTAACATTGTCCGAGGAGAAAGTGCTCAACTGTAAGTGTGAGAGTGTGTGTTTGTGTGTGTATGATGTTTGTGTGTTTTCCTGTTTGCATGTGTGTGTGTGTGCACATCTGTACGTGTCGGTATGTGTCTGTCTGTCTGTCTGATGGTCAAGTGGAGCTCTGATGTGAATCCAGCCTGCATATTAGAAAGAGGAGATGGAGAGGGCCTGGGCAAACAGCAGGCAGGAGGAAGCTTGCTCTTTGCTCCTGGCCCTTGAGCTTACCTTCCCTCTGCTCAGAGATAAAGCTGTGGTCTTGCAGTTGCCCCGTGTGGCCCAGACTCAAGCCGATGCGCCTGGAGCACGTTGCTCCTGAAGCTCACCAATGGCCCGCTCACCTTCCTCTCCTTAAGAAACACCTTAGGCTTGGCAGTTGCTGTGGGTTACAGACATCGGTAGCGTGTTTGCGCCCTCCGCAGTTGAGGCTGAGTTCCAGTCTCCATTCAGCACTGACCCCCAGTAAATCCTGTGAGGCCTTTGCTCCCGAGATATAGGAAGGCAGGTGGGCACGCCCTGTTGAGAGCAGCCCGGGCTTGCCTAGCGCCCACTCTGGGCCTAGAGTCCATGCTTCGCTCCGGGAATCCAGAAGATTGTGTTCAGGAGGCCCTGTGGTGGGTGGCACAGCCTCCCGAGCTGTGACACGGCTATCACTTGGCATCTTCCTCCCTTTGGGTCCCTTTGGAGTGAGCAGCCTCCTGAGTGTGGAGATGCGGTGGGCTCTGGGTCTGTGTCCCTTGTCCCCACATGGTTGCCCTGCAACCACTGCTCAGCCAGCGACTGATGCAGAAGGGTTCTCTCTTGCCCTTCTCCCTCCCCCTGTGCCGTGCCTGCTCCCTCCCCATGTGCTGTGCCCCCTCCTTCCCCCTGCACTGTGCCCGCTCCCTCCCCATGTGTTGTGCCCACTCCCTCTCCCTGTGTTCCCACCTCCCTCCCCTCTGTGTGCCCGCTCCCTCCCCATGTGCTGTGCCCGCTCCCTCCCCATGTGCTGTGCCCCCTCCCTCCCCTCTGTGTGCCCGCTCCCTCCCCCTGCGCTGTGCCCCTCCCTCCCCATGTGCTGTGCCCCCTCCCTCCCCCTGCGCTGTGCCCCCTCCCTCCCCATGCGCTGTGCCCCCTCCCTCCCCCTGCGCTGTGCCCCCTCCTTCCCGCTGTGCTGGAGGCACCGTGCATACTCCCTGTGCTCCCTGGCCTTGGGTTCTTACAGCTGTGCCTGCATTTCCCCTAATGTTTAGGTTCAGGTTGGGAATGTCTCAGCACGCTTAGCTTCGGCATTGCTGTACTCCGACTTGAAAAAGAAACGTGTGTCAAAGTGTTTTGCCTTTAGGTGTCTGTGCAGCACCTGTGTGCAGTGCCGGACAGGCCAGAAGAGGGCGCTAGGTCCTCCGGGTAAAGTGAGTCCTGAGCCGCCGTGTGGGTGCTGGGAACTGAACCCAGGTCCTCCATTAGAGCAGCCAGCGTGCTAACCACTGAATGTCTCTCAGCCTGCATGCTTGTCTTTATCTCAGAACTTTTTGTGCACAGCCAATGTCTGTATTTTAGAGTACACTGCTCTATCTTTTCCTTTCTAAACCTAAACGTGTGATCACAAACATTATGTCCTGAAATCTAGTGTTTGTGGTTGTGTGTATGGGTGTGTGTGTGTGTGTGTGTGTGTGTGTGTGTGTGTACACGGGCATGGGTGTGCAGGAGCATGTTCCAAAAATCAGAGAAAAAGGGCGTATTCTAGTGGTGGTAAACACTATTGTTAAGATCCTGGAGCTGGGAGAGTGCCTGCACTATGCAGAACCAGCTTTCCTCACCCCGAGGCAGCCTTGCACAGACACATGCGGGCAAAACACCAAGCACTAGATAGACAGACAGATGATAGGTAGGTAGGTAGGTAGGTAGACAGACAGACAGACAGATAGATAATCTATCCATCTTTAAAAACAACAAACACCCCAGAGTAAAGCCAGTAACAGTAGCGGCAGTGCACGCCTTTAATCCCAGCACTTTGGAGGCAGAGGCAGGAGAATCTCTGAGTTCCAGGCCAGTCTGGTCAACAGAGCAAGTTCCTGGCCAGCCAAGGCTACACAGAGAAACCCTGTCTTGGAAGCAAATAGCAGACCAAACACCTACCTACAGCTGCCTGGTTAACAACCCAGGGGAAACGGGGACTGCTGGCTGATGGCTGTCGCTGAGTTGGCAGCAGTGACCGTTCTGGGTGGTGGTGGCTGGCCTCTGGGAACCCCTGAGTGACAGTAAGGAGCCTCACAAAGGCTTTCTCAGTGACCTTGGACACACAGTACACACCTCATTGATTGTTGTTCCTTTCAGGGCCGAAGCATGTCGTTGTTAAGTTTGTGGTGAAATTCTTCCCGCCCGACCACACGCAGCTCCGAGAAGAGCTCACCAGGTTAGTGCTGCCAGCCGGGTGCGCTCCCTGCCCTGTGTGGAGGAAGATGGGCACGCTCCATGCTGTGTGGAGGTGGGCGCTCCCTGCCCTGGTGGAGGGACAGCAGACACTGACTTCTAACCGGCCATCGCCAGAGTGTTTGACCAGTGTCCTCGGTACTTGGCGGTGTCACCCCTTTCTCTTCCATTTGCTCTGACAAATATGGAAGAGACTATGTCTTTCCTGCACCTGGTCTCTTTATAATTGATTATGGCGTGAGGTGGCTTTAAACCTTGTCAGTGCCATGACTTCTGTCCATCTGTTATAACCCAAGCCAGTTTTAGGGTCTCTTTCGTGAAACTGATTCTGAATTCTGCAAAAATACTTCAGAGGATCTGGGTCAGTTCCCAGCACACACTGGGCAGCTCACAGCTACCTGCAACTCCAGCTCCGGACAGCTCCTCTTCTGGCTTTGCTGGGTAGCCTCACACCACGGCACACACATGCACGCACAGACACCCACACACAGGAACAAAGACTGGGCCTTCAGACCTTGAAGGAGCCAGAGAGGCAGGGATGCCAGGGTGAATAGCTCTAGGTGGAGAAACATCCTAGCAAGAAACCTAGCTTTCCCTTGGATGATGCTGGGGTGGGGGCTGGCTTCTCCTGGGACCAGGGAGCAAGCAGGTCTCTGTGCTGCTTTGATCAGAGAGCAGAGGGCAGCAGCAGAAGGGAAGGGAGGCAGCCATGTTTGGAGTGTGTGATGGTTGTAGGACCCTGCATGCTGATGAGTGACAGGCAGTCCTAGCAAAGCAGAGGGCCGCCTAGGTGATTTGAGCAACCAAATGGGGGCTTTGGGGGGTTACTAAGACAGGAGAGCAAGGGTTAAAGGGCATGGGGAGAGGCAGGAGGTCAGGGCTGGCTCTGGCCAGGTACCCTCTGAAGCATCTGTGACCGGTGACATGGCTGCTTCAAGAAAGACACCACATATGTGTCATGGATTTCCACGAAGAAGAAGTGGAAGAAGAAGTGTAAACAAAGGCCTTCCCACTAATTCAGGTTTTGTGAATGGTCATCCATTCTACCCCAACTCGAAAGTGCCCAGAGCAGGCCAAAGCCGCCAGCCCCCGTGAACCAGCGAACCAGCAAATCAGCTGAGATGGACTTTGGGTAGAGGAGCATGAGCAAGGGCTGAGAACCCAGGTCACGTGACCCCGGGAGCCACCCCCCAGTCCCCCTGCAGTGCTCCAGTAGCCACTAGGGCGGACAGTGCTGAGCTAAACCTTGCCCTCCTGGCACTGGGCTCCTTTTCTATTTTGAAAGTCAGAGGCAGGAATCTCGTTCTCCATCAAAGATTCTTGTTTTTCCATTATTTTGTCTTTTTAATTTCAGTGTATCATTATCTTTTGAGTTTCAGGGGTTTGTTGTTTTTATCATTCTGATCTTTATTCTAAAGCTCCATGCATCTTCTTACCAGGCTGAGTAAGCCTGGGTTTGTTTGTTTTTTGTTTGTTTGTTTTGAGTGATTTGCCAACTTACCTGGCAAGACTGATGATCTCTGCAGATGAATGTGGCAGGTTTTTTTCTGCTTTTGTTTTTGATTCTCTGCATGAACCAATATTTTAAGAAATGCTTTCCAGAATTCCCATTCTTTTGGCTTGATGTTGAACAGAACCAATCTGGGATTTCTATAAATCCCATTCACAGCCAGCACAGTCACCCGTGTGGCGAGCCCACACTCAGGTTCCTGCGTAAGCAGAAGTGCCACAGTGGCGAGATTTGAGACACTTGCTCTTGACCGCTGTGCCATCTCTCACCCCACCCAGCTTTTCTTCTGGCAAAGCTCAGAATTAATTCTCTTGTGCCGGTGAATGCAGCCACTTGTTCTTTCCCAGTTTGTCTGTGTGTCTGTCTGTCTTCAGTAGGGTCAGCTCCTGTCCCCAGTCACCAGATTCTCCCAGAGCTGTGTTATGGAGTGCTTACACAAGTCCACATTGCCTGGCAGGAAAACTAACTTAATTTCACTTAGTGAGAACAGAAAGACTATTAAGACCTTCCAAATGAAGTAAATCAAGTCAGCGAGATGCTGTGTGGTCTGGGCTTGCCGTCCCCAGAAGCAGTGGACCTTGGTCATTCCCATCACAAGTGTCCGTGTTGCTCTTGTCGTCCAGTGCCTGCTGAGTGAGAGCTATCCCTGCTCCCGTGGGCACGGTGGGAATTACTTCCACCTACAGACCGGAGGTGTGGCTAAGTCTCTGGAAGCAGGACCGGCCAGGGTGTTCTGCTCACGTGGTGGGGAACGGCCGTGGTGTCATCCCAGGAAGCTGTCTCTCATGCCATGTGGGCTGGGAACGGAGACTAAATGGAGCCGGAAGGTGGCAGGTTCTCACAGCCACGCACGTGCGCACTTCCACGGCTTCCTGCTACCACGCAAGGCCTATGTCTTAGAACGCTGCTGTGTAGACACAGTACCTTGAGTTTGAGGTGATAAATTATTCAGAGTGCAGTGCTTTCAAAACAGAACCTCCTCACTGTTTGAAGGTGACCTGTGCTGTAGGTCAGGACTAACGCCATACTCTGTGCAGTCCTGGGTTCAGGGGCCAGTTACCACTGCCTGGTCCAGAGAGAAGAGGCCAGCCCTCTCCAGGAGCCTTGCTCGTGAACAGCTCCCCGTTCGTGTGTCTGGTCCCCGCTGTCCTCACCTTTGACTTTCTGCCAGGCAGCAGATGGTGGGAGCTCCGCCGGGATCCTGGGGAAGGAGCGTGACAGACACTGCTCCCAGCCCCCGTGCTGTGACTTTATTTTCTGCCCACATAATGGCCACATTGTTTTGATTTTTTGTTTTTGTTTTTAGTTGTTAATTGTGAAATGTCTTAAGCAATTAAAGAAGCTTGGTTATTGTCATTTTTAGTGCCAATCTCTTTAATTGAATTGTTGCGTTACTCCCGCACGGCTTGCCCTCCCTGGACGGCTTCATGCCTGCGTAGTATTCCTCCCGGCTGCTCTCAACGACCTCCACCCCTGGCAGCGCACCACTCGGGTCCCTCTTCCACATTAACATCATTTGGAAGTTTGTTTGCTTGCTCTCTTGTTTTGTGTGTGAATGAGAGAGCGACAGAATAGAGCCCCAGGTTGTCTGTGTGGCTGTGGGTTCGGAATACTCCCTCATCCTGGTGAGCCCGGAGGTCACGGAGGTCCCAGCTAGTTCCTGGAAGCCTGCACTTGGTCCTGTTAGCAGCCTCTTCTTTAGAATTGAAAGCAGCACAGCGCCAAGTGTGTGGCTCAGCGGCAGAGACTGATCCGGTGGACCTGTTACTTTTCTGTGTAAAAATCACCAGGACCAAGGCAGCTTACGGAAGATGTTATTTGGGCCCGAAGTTCCGGGTAGTTAGAGGCAGTGAGGGCCGAGCAGAGGCTACCGGTGACAGTGGTGACTGAACAGCAAGCTCAGAGCTCACATCTTAAAGCACAGGCAGGAGGCCAAAAGTGTAAACTTGGAAAGCCGGGCGTCTTTGAATCCCCATAGCCTACCCCAGAGACATGCTGCCTCCCCAGCAGCACCATGAGCAGGGAACCAAATGGGCAAACATCCAAGCCTCCACATCTAGCCAGACCTGAAGCTCAGTCCAACGCTATGAAAATACCATAAAGCAAGCTTTTGTCTCACAAGGTAGTAACTGTACGCTATAGGAAGTTAGGAACATTTCATTAAGACTAAGGACATGGGGCTTAAGAGATGGCTCAGAGGTTAAGAGCACTGGCTGCTCTTCCAGAGGTCCTGAGTTCAATTCCCAGCAACCATATGGTGGCTCACAACCATCTCACAACAATCTGTTGCCCTCTTCTGGTGTGCAGGTATACGTGCAAAACACAACATTGTATACATAATAAATAAATATATCTTTAAAAAAAAAAGACTAAGGACATGGAAATAGTTCATCCATGGGGTTTCACATCAGCGTGATCTCTTTTCTGATTTTTTATATAATTATACTTTTTCATGTTCTATAAAAAACCTTCACCACACTCAAATTTCCCAACCTTCTCAGATTGTTGCTTATTTCTGTTTTCTAAAGTCAGACTCATGCGTGTGGCAGCACACGCCTTTGATCTCAGCACTTGGGAGGCAGAGGCAGGCATATCTCTGTGAGTTCAAGGCCAGCCTGGCCTTCAAAGTGAGTGCCAGGCCATCCGAGTCTACATAGTAAGACCCTGTCTCAAAAAAACAAAGAGAAGGAAAACTGGGGCCTGGGGGCCTGCTGTGCTGGTGTGTGCTCATCCGGGCCTCTTCGTCCAGCATGGTTCTTGCGGTTCTTCAGTTCTTCAGGACGCTGGTTTTGGACTAGAGACTGCCGTGCCACCTAGATTGACTCATGCCCCCCTTGGTGTGTTTTGCTTATTCTTCCAAGCTTGTGTATTCCTAAGAACTAGAAATTTGTCACAAAGGCTCTGTGGCTACAATTAAACATTGCTGAGCAGGATCTGCTGTAAATGCTGTGTTATGTAGGACACTAGCAGCGCTCGTCTTGACACTCCGACCCTTCCATTGGGAAATATCTTTTCAGCCTCTCTCTAAACATCCAGCTTCCTAAATGATTTTTTTTTTTTTTAACCAGTTGACTGTCGCTGCCAGAGTGGATCTTTGGAGGTTGTTGAGAGAGGAGTTTCTGGCCCCGTCAAGTCTAACTCTGCTGTCACTGAGTTCTGCTTGGGAGCTCTTTGCCTTCAGCCACCACCATTGTGTAGTGCTATTAGAATATCTCTCATCTATGCTTTGACCGTCTCACTCGAGTATCCAGCGTGTCTTGAGCACTTCTACCCCAGCCTGCCCCTGTGGACGCCGCCAGTCCCCTTCCCACCTCATGTCCTCTGGGGATGTCTTTGTTAGTTTGGGTTGGCTCACTGCGTCCAGTTGTGCCGCCTGCTGAGGTGCTGACTGGACTTGCTGTCCTGGGCATGTGCAGGTAGCAGTGGCCGCAGGGACTTCACTAGAACAGCCACACTTCCAGTCCGAAAGCCAGCACGCCATCACTCTCCTCCGCATCTTCTGTCTGTAGCTTCTTCCGACCCTTCTGCTGGTCGTTCTGCAAGCCGTGGGGTGGGGATGAAATAGGCTTCCCATTGGGGTGAGTCCTCGGTGGCCACTTACTTTCATCATTTGACCAGCCATGAATCTGCATTGCTGCCCACTGCAGAAAGGGGCCTCTCTGCCAAGGCTGAAAGGAGCCATGGCTATAAACACAAATATTTAGAAAGTGTTTTTGGGGCACACCCATTCAACAAGACAACAGTAGTGGCTTCCCTTCTGGGACCTGTGATCCCCGGGCCTGGCCTTTGACCAGGTTTGTGGTAGCAGGCCTGGATTCCCTCCTGTGCAGCAGGCTTCAGATGGACCCGGTCAGTTTCTCCCATAACCTTCATGCCGCTAATGCCAGTCAAGGAGTTTCATGCAGAGCTTGTGGGATGTGATATATTAATTTTTTTTTGTTCTTCACCAATCCTCAATCGCTGTGGACTCATACGTTTTTGTCAATTTGTAATTTATTAATTCATAAACATAATTCCATTGCTTCAGTTTGTTTTAATCATTCTTGCTGGGGTCAAGGTGTGACAGGTGGCTTTGGAGGCCCCTTCAATACATTCTGATACAAGGTATTTTTGAGGCTGTCCTCCATGAAAGCCTGCGGCTCTAAGTCCGTTCCCTGCACTGCCCTGCAGTTTCTGCAGGCTGTCTCCTCACCGGTGGCCGGGAGGAAGCCTGGTTGGGGCCAAGCACCAGTTCCCTGCATGACTTGTCTCCATTGACCTTCGCAGGTACCTGTTCGCTCTGCAGGTGAAGCAGGACTTGGCTCAGGGCCGGCTGACGTGCAGCGACACCAGCGCTGCGCTCCTGATCTCACACATCGTACAGTGTAAGTTCCTGCTGGCCTCGGCGCAAAGGCCTGAGTGCTAGGAGGCGCCGGTGTCTGGGTCACTTCTGCTCTCGTGGACGCCCCGCAGAGCAGGCACACTAACCTCATTCAGTGGCACACCTCAGGCACTCGCCCAGGGCTTCTGCGGCCTGCTGACCTTTGCTTCTGTGTTGGCTTGTTTGCCTGCTCGTTCAGTGTCATCTCACTGTCTCAGAGATGCGTGGGCAGGCAGGAGACAGGCCAGCACGTCTGCTTCGGCCTGTCCTTGGATTTAGTGCGAGTCGCTGGACATGAGTGCCTAGTGTTAGCGCACAAAGCAGAGAGGAGCATGCTCAGGAAGCAGGCTTATCCTGCGCTCCTGGGCAGCCATTGCGTACACACACACACACACACACACACACACACACACTCTCAGGCCTTGGAAGAAACCTGGGAGCTTGTTAGCCCTGATGCCAAAGGAAAACCTGATCCCTAATGTACCACATTGCTGTCATCAAGATGGAAAAGTGTTTGTTCCAAGTTGAAGAGCCCAACTTAGGTTTCCAAAAGTCACAGCTTACCTTCACTGCTAGGGTGGTCTCATCGCAGAATTGCCGGGTCACTAGACTTTATCCCCAGATCGCCGAGTGCCTCCAGCGTTCTGCAGAGGCTGGGGCAGTGAAAGCTTCCGTCTCGCCCTGTTCCCCCTGAGGCAGGAAGAGAGGAAGTGCCGCCTTCACTTTCTGCCGTCACAGGCTAACAGGCCCCTTCCCGCTCTGCCGAGCTTCTCACGCTCTCCAGCTGCCGTGGGTGACTTCACAGTACAGCCAGCCCTTCACAGGCTGCTCAAGTACTAAGCACCCCGTGACACACGTCACAGAGAAAATGCGTGTGGGGGCGTGGTTCCTTGTGGGTGGATCAGCAGTGTGTGTTAAACAGAGCCACGTGGAAAAGCAGAGTTGGTTCCTGCAAATGTCTTGGTTCTTTTCTGGAGTCTGACCCCAGATTTCCCTTCAGAGCAATGATTGCTAACTCATTGTTCCCAGGACTCCCTCAATTATGACTCTCCTATCTAAAGATTGATTTGTTAGTGTTCATGTATTTGTGTATATGGCACGTGTGTGTAGGTGCCCATAGGTACCAGCAGAGGGCATGAACCCGGCTGGAGTTAGGGGTTGTTGGTGAGCCTGCTGGGGTGGGATCTGAACCCGTGTCCTCTGGAAGAACAGCAGGTGTTCTTACCTGGAGCTGTCCCTCTGGCCTCTCTGTTTTTGTTTTATTAATGTTGGCCTCTGTGTGTACGTGTGCACACTGGGTACCCACGGAGGCCGAGACCCTGGGTCCCTGGGACTGACTTACAGGTGGTTGTGAGTTGCCACATGGGTTCTGGGAACTGAGCCTGGCTCCTTTGGCAGAGCAATAAGCTCTTAGCCACAGAGTCACCTTTCCAGCCCCTTACCTAGCATAAGTAACAGGCATCAACTGTGCTTTCTCAGAGCAGACAGAAGACGCTGCAGAGAGAGTGCAGAGCTTCCGGCCAGGCAGTCGGGGGCAGCGCCTGGGGCCAGGGCACACTTGGGCCATGCGCAGCGTTTTATGGGATGGGTGGAATCCCATCCAGCAAGGGGGTTAGGGACACCGCCAGCAGCTGTGGCAGAGGAGGCTGGGGTGCGGGCTCCTCCAGGTGACGCTGGGTGAGCTGGCACAGCTTGGCGCGGGCAGGTAGCTCAGGTGAGTGATTCGAGTCGCACACAGGCCATGCTTGAGACAGTGCTCGAGTGGCAGGCTGCTTCCCTGGGGAGATGGAAGGTGGCCTTGTAGCAGCTGCACTCTGGCTTCTAAACAAGCCTGGCCTGGTCACTGCCGTGTTCTGGTAGCTCGTTACACAGGTACTGGGATGCTCAGGGAGGCGCCTCCCAGGAGTCTGGCAGGCACACCCTCGCCGGCACGATTGTTCTTTCAAAGCTCGGTCAGAAGTGTTCATGGTACAGCGGCTTCCAGACAGGTTGAGGTTGCATGGGAAATGCACTGTGTTGCGTGTGGGTGGAAACCTGTGCAGTCACAGCCTCCTGCTGTTTCCACAGGAAATTTGGTAAATTTTCCTAAAGCAACAACAGCAAAACCCGAATTAACTTGTTCACCTTCCCTCCTGGTGCTAACACTCCTGGGTTCTTAGTGACTGGCCGTTACATGTAATCGGTTCAGTTAACTCCTCGGCCTGCTCACACCGAGTCATTCAGCAGTCACCCACGTGTGTAGAATTTACTGAGAAGTGAAGAAAGATGAGTGGCCCCATGTCGGCAGCACCGAAGGCCGGGGTGGCTGACCCCAAACACCTCAGCCTCGAGCAGACAGGCTTCTGAGGGAGCTTCAGAAGAGGGGTTCAGTAGTTGATGGTGGCCTCACCGCATGCTGTGCGTGCTGCCAGGACCACAGCATTGGGAAGAGCGCATCCTCCGCAGCTTGTCTTTCTGTGTCTTTGTAGCTGAGATTGGGGACTTCGATGACGCATTGGACAGGGAACACCTAGCGAAAAATAAGTATGTGGCTCAGCAGGACACGCTGGAAGACAAGATCATGGAGTTCCACCACGGCCACCTGTGAGTTGCACGCAATGGTCCTCTTGCCCTCCTGCACCTGCCTTCTGCCTCCTGGCCAGCTAGGTGCACGTGAGGGAACACTAACACACACACACACACGCGCACACATACTGAGTGACACCCAACGGAGGCTGAAGGAAGGAGCACAGAGTCTCGCTGTCGTGCTGTGCTCTCACCTCTCAGAAAGTGCAGAGACAGTGTTTGTGGCCCAGCTATGCGGCCCTGAGGTGTAAAGGAGTCTAAGACTCACAGACCGTTGGATAATCATTTTAACCGAGCATGGGGATGCTTGTGTCAAACTAAGAAATGGTGCTGAGTGTGGAAAAAGTCAGACCCTTTGTGGCGTCCCCAGGTTTTGGCCTTTGCTTGATTAGGACACTTTCAGAGGCCACACCACGCCTTTGCTGTGTGGCTGAGGCAGGCACTCGCACCCGACAACAGTCGGAGTGGAAAGCCTGGCCTTCTGCTCTCAGAGTTCAGCTTCCCGGATGAGGCGGGAGACCTGCTGAGCACAATAGAGCTTTGCTCTTCCAGGACCCACAGGAAACTGAGATTCAGAAGTGCTGGCTGGGCTGGGACAGAGCTGGGACAGAGCTGGGGTTTTGTGTACCCTGGCAGTGGGGCTTTTGTCCTCACTGCACTCTGGGGTTAGTAGGCCATCTGATCAGGCAGCCCGCTGCTTGGTGAAGCGCCTTTCCTTTCCCAGGAGGAGCTCCTTAATCGCAAGTTAACAGGTCTGGGGGGTTCAAATCCCCGGCCTTTTCTTCCCTCTTGCTTTATCAGTGGACAAACCCCGGCCGAGTCAGATTTCCAGCTCCTGGAGGTGGCCCGCCGCCTGGACATGTACGGGATCCGGTTACACCCTGCCAAGGACAGGGAAGGCACCAAGATCAACCTGGCTGTCGCCAACACAGGCATTCTAGTGTTTCAGGTGTGAACACAGCGCCTTTCCCTTGATGGGGGAGGGGCTGGGCTCCCGGGCCCACACTCTTGTGGGTGGCCAGGCTGAGGCCTCTGAGGTGTTTTCAAGTGAACAGGGAAAAGGCCTTCTGTTTGGTTTTTGTTTGTTTGCCTGCCTGTTCTGCATTCCTCCTGTCCTGCCTGGAGACTGTTCAGTGTGGCTTTGTTTGGGCTCAATAGATCTCTCAGAGCCTAGACCCTGACAGCTCCAGTGCTGAGAACAGTGTGCAGGGCGGTGGTCTCGTTCTCAGATAAACGCCTGCCATACCGAGGTGACATCTTGATGCTTTGTTAGAACTGGATCCTTGTGATTTTTTTTTTTTTCTTTCAAATTAATTTGTGCTCAGCCACCTTTTGTGGGACTTTGCTGTCCCCCAGTGCACGAGCAAGACAGGCCCTACCCGGGCGCTTAGCCCGTGCCGTCCCTAAGGCATGTGACCCTTCACTCCTCAGTGTCCTCCTCTTCCCTGGCTGTGGCTGGCGTTATTTGACCGTGCTTTTGTCTTCCTAGCCTCCTTCAGATATGGGCTGCAGGCCTGCCCTTAGCTAATGTTTCATGGGTTCCTTTCTGTAGACCTTTGCATCTGGGGAAACCATACTAATGAACACTCCTGCACTGGCAACCCCTTTTCTGTTGCAGAAAACCACCTAGCTAGTTAACGGATAGGAAAGAGGTTTCTGTAGTCACGGATGGATGAACTGAAGCTTAAAGGGCACAGCACAGTTCTGTGATGCCCCGACACCTGTCTCCATCCCTCACCACAGAGGGAAGTGCCACCAAGGCTAGAGCATGCACAGGAGGCCGCAGCCACCACATTGGAAAGCCAGACAGCCACCAGGTCTCAGGGACCTGCACTGACCCCTTCAGAGGTGCGGCCTCTTCGGAAGGACACCCACCGCCCTTTTCTAATGATGCCGCTAACCTGACCATCACCACACTGGCGGCACACACACGCATACACACACTTGTATCAGTTCTCCTCATGCATGGATCTGTTTATAGCACACATTGACACCCCTAAAAGTTGGAGCTTGGGTCTCATCCCTGGACAACACCCACAAAGGAAGTGCTCCCCCAGTTTTCAGCCTGCACAAATAATCCACAAATGCCTGATTTTGAGGAACAAGAAGACCCAGTGTTTTGTGACTATTAAATTTCCAAACCAAACATTCATTATGCCTGAAAGTCATAGAGAAAAGAAGTGCCACAGTTGAACGACTGTGCTGTGCTTGTGTTTAATGTGAGCACTGAGAATTGCTGCACGGTGTGGTTCTGTGAAAAAGCAAGCGCCGAGGCTTTACTCTGTGCCCGTGCCTGGCTGCTGCCTTCCCAGCACTGAACGGTTGGCCACGGCGTTCATAGGGCTCTGTTTACATTTACACGTGTGCGTTGCAGCTTCCATCTCTGCGAAATGAATAAATCTGGCTGTGAGCGTTGTGTGTGGTCGGATGAGATCCGCTCCAAAGAGCCCTGGTGCAGTGCCTGGCCCCCGTGAGGTGGCTGCTCCTGGTGTGCCGTCGCCATGGTTTCAGTTTGACTACCCTCCTTTCATCCCCTTCACCAGTGCCTTCCCAACATGAAGGCAGACATGGTTTGGATTAGGCTCTAATTAGTGAGAAAGAACAGTGTGCACGTGGCATCCGGCACACGCAGCCCGGGAATCCTTCACAGAGGCTTTCCTGAGCGCGGGACCCTCGGCCCTCCGCCTGCGGCTCCCGTGCGCACAGCTCACAGGTCGCTCTCTCGTAGGGCTTCACGAAGATCAACGCTTTTAACTGGGCCAAGGTGCGGAAGCTGAGCTTCAAGCGGAAGCGCTTTCTTATCAAGCTCAGACCCGACGTGAACGTAAGTCTCTGGAGAGCGTGACTGTGGGACCCCGGGGCTGAGCGGAGCCCGCGCTGCCCCAGCCAGGTGTGAGCGGAGCCCGGGCTGCCCCAGCCAGGGGTGCACACGTGCAGGGAGGCTGCATTAAGCTCAGGAATGCTTTTGCTGCCACGCTGGGTTCTGGGAGGAAGGATAAGAAGGGCACACAGGGGCACACCTAAGGAGACCATTTCCCTGCCGAACAAACAGCTTGAGCTGTGTTGTGGCTGCTTCCAGAGCCAGTGGCTGTGCCCTGGGACCCCAGTCAGTGGTCTGCCATATTCCTGTCCTCATCTGCACCCAGGTGGCCCTGACTTGCTGGTTCCCCCTGTTGCCCTCACACTTTCACAGAGCTCACTCTCATGGGCTAAATACAGCTTTCCAGTACAGAACCCCCAAGGGTGTCACCCACCCTGGGATGGCTTCTGGAAAGACTGCCAAAAGCCACCTATCCATCCTCCATGCCTGTCCTATCCGGAACCGAGTCCTTGACCCCACAGAGGTGGGCTCGCCAGGCAGTCCCAGCCCACAGTTCAGCTGCAGTGGGGCCTGAATGGATGCATAGGACCCGACTGGGAAGCCGATGCCCCAATAAGCGATTATGGGAAAAGGCGATTATGGTTCTAGTTCATAAGGGAACCAGCACAGCACACGCTGTTAGCTGAGCTTGCGAGAACCCTGGCAGCCCCAAAATAGTCAGAGCTGCTGTGAAGGCTGAGGACTCTGGAAACTTTAGTTTCTGTAACACAGCCTCTGGAACTGGAAACACTGAGTGTAGGAGAGGAAAATCACCCTAGTCCTTCCGGAGTGGAACGGCATGAGTTTGTCAGCTGAGAGTCACAAATGCTTGGACTGCGGGAGGGAGAAGATGTCATTTCCTCTGTGGCTCCAGGCCACCTGGAGCCTGTGCCATCTGCTCTTTTATTAAAAAATGAATTAGAGTCGATCTGGGCAGGAGCCATGGGGAAGAAACCGGAAGAAGGAGATGCAGCTTAGATACGTTAAGGAAGGCTGTGTGTTGATACTTGGACTGTTTTTAAGGCGGCAGCAGGAATCAAGATTATGCAGTTTGCTTATGGATCGGCTAAGAACAGGCTCTGTGCCTGTTTCCGCTTGTTCCCGTAAGGAAGTGGACAAAGAAGGGGCAGGAAGGTGGCCTTCGGGAACAAGCATTCTTGCTCAGTCTTTGAGTTAAAACATGACACATAATTACAGTTTTATTGGACTAACTGCTTCCGTTGTTTTCACCCCCGCTTCAGCAGAATGACTGAACTGTGCAGGGAAAATAAAAGCTGTCTGTCTTTCCAGAGCTCCTACCAGGACACCTTGGAGTTCCTGATGGCTGGTCGAGACTTCTGCAAGGCCTTCTGGAAAATCTGCGTGGAGTATCACGCCTTCTTCAGGCTTCTGGAAGAACCCAAGCCAAAGCCGAAGCCTGTTCTCTTCAGCCGAGGCTCCTCCTTCCGGTTCAGGTCCGCTGCCCCTCCCCCAGCCCTTTCGAATTCCGTGTGACCGTTTCCTGTGGCTTCCCCCGCCACAGCTGTTGTAGCTCGTGATGACATGACGATAAGGCAAACAGGCCGATCCCACCGGCTCTGTCAGTGCCCAGGCCTGGCTGAGCCTTTGGGAACCACTTAGCCCTGCCAATCACAGCAGTCTCCAGATACATTTTTTTTAATCGTTTTCAGAATTCCACACATGGATATGGTGTGTTTGATCAAGCCCATTTCCCACTCTTTCCTCTCCAGTCTCTTCTCTACACCAACCATCTCTTCCTTCCAGCTTTTCATGCTCTCTCTTAGGCCCACTGTAGCCACATACGAAGTTGTGTGTGGGACCGTCTGCTAGGACGTGGTCAGCATATAAGAGGCGGTGCCCTAAGAAAACTGACTGGCCGGGTGGTGCATGCCTTTAATTGCAGCAGTAGGGAGGCTGAGGCAGGTGGAGCTCTGAATTCGAGACCAGCCTGGTCTATGAGTAAGTTCCAGGATAGCCAGGGCTACACAGAGTAACTGTCTTAGAGAGCAGGGTATGAAAAAACAATAAGAACAAAATGGTGCCCCCTCTGTCACTTGCCTGTGGCTCCCATGTGAGTTTGTTTTTAATGGTTCTGAGGTAAACCCAGTGCCTTGTGCATCCCAGGCAAGGGCTTTGCCACTGAGCCAGGCTGTTTGTAAAAGCAAGTGTCCTTGCCTTAGGTGTTGTGCCACAGGTGGTCCACAGACCTGACCAACCTGGGTTTACATTTGCACTCACTTTTCAAACAATACTAACCTTGCACTGTGTGAGAAATACTGGTCTAGAATAGACAGAGAATTAAATGTCCCTGTCCTTACAGACTGCGTGGACTGGGCCCCTGGACAGCACCTCACAACCAACCATGGGTGTTCGGTGGGTTTGTTTGGCCATTTTGTCTGTTACATGTAAGGAAATCAGATGGACAGAAACCCCGAGGTTCTCTTGGGATCGCTTTGATTCTTACCTGGCTGAAGAGTGTTTAAACATGAGTGCCTCCATGTCTTGTCCCTTTACCTTCGTGGTTTTCCTTTCAGCGGTCGGACTCAGAAGCAAGTTCTTGACTACGTTAAAGAAGGAGGCCACAAGAAAGTGCAGTTTGAACGGTAAGCGGCTCTTTCGAGCCGGCTTCGTTCTCCCCAACAGTGCAAATACTGTTGCTTCCTCACCCAGCCTGGAGCGTTTCTGTCAACTATGCCCAACCTCAGCAAGCAGGGGCTTGGACAGGAACACCCTTGCCCCTGGGTACTCACTCAGGGTGAGATAAGACTGAGGGAGCTGGCAGAGGGCCGAGTGAGCCCCGGGCAGAAATGGCAGCACGTGGCAAGCCTGCAGTCCACAGGGAGCCTTACGGACTTGAGGAAGTGACCTGCAAGTGTTTCTGGTAACTACAGTTAGGTGAAGGTTGAGAGAGAGGCGCAGAACGGCTCACTGTTTGTGGCAGGTGCCCTTGGCTCGGTACTGGCCAGACTCCCATTGGAGCCCCTTGCTTCAACTGGCTCCGAGTGGTCTTTTACTCCCTGCTCACACATGGAGACCCTGACGCTCCGGCCCACTGAGTGGGTAGCACCCGTCCCCTAACTGGCCCACTAGCTCCAGAGCCTGTCGGCTCCGCTGGGTCTCACAGGGGAGAGCCCGAGTGAGGCAGGGGTGACGGGCAGGGAGGGAAATGGTGCCTGCACCCTCTCAGGTTCCCCGACTGTTGTTTTTAACCCTGTTCTGTTTTTCATGTTAGTGCACGAATACTTTGCCCAGCACAGGGGTACAGGCGGTCTTACAACTCAGCATTAGAGCTGCAGGCTGGTCTACACTGACCTGGACATCTGAAGAGCTGAAAAATCTGAACCTTCTGCGCTCTATCCTAACCCCTGTGTGCAAAATTCCACACTTGATCCCAGCCAAAAATGTACAAAGTTATAAAAATACATAAAATAGCCTCCAGTCTATTGTCCAAGGTCGATGGGAAAGAAAGGCCTTTCACATCAGGTCAGGATCCTGTCCCCAAGCTATCGCGCTGTGTCAGCCCAGCTCTCCCCAGGTCCAACTGTGTCTGTTCCCAAGCTTCAGGGTCGATCACTCCCAGCTGCTTTAGTATTTTGACGTCCTTAGTTTCGGAGTTTGTGTGCTGCTACAGTCGCTAACAGAAGTTGACAAAACCACCTTGGGTTACACCGTTTTGATTTCCCCCTCTGTTTCCAAAAGAAACTTTTAGATTTATGTTTCTTCTTGATTCAGTACTTATTCATTATTTTTTTACAATGCAATGGAGATTGCCCTGTGTTCAGGATTTTCATTTCTGTAAAAGTATGCTCCTGTCCTCTGTATCCATTGAGCATTGGAAACCGTTTGCTGTGGAGCTCTGAGACAGTGTAAGAACTTTTGACTCCTTGAGCTCAAGGGCGTTATGGTGTTCTGCCCTATTTATGTCACTCCCGTTGACAGATGTTGAGGTCATTGTGATGCCTCATTCTGATTTGGCCAAAATAAGTGTTATGAATCCCTCATGGTTTCTCATTTCCTATACCCAGAAATGTGACATGAGGAAGCTTTGCCTGTGTACCCAAGTCAGTAGCTTACCAGAAACAGCCCTGCCTCTGTCTCCAGAGATCATCATGCCATCATTTTCTTAGATAATTGGCAATCGGCATGGTGATGGGCATGCCGGAGGTGGTCTGCTCGTCTCCTAGATGTGAAGGAGCCTTTCCACGTGAAGAAAAGGGTGCACCCTGCAGTAATTGATGCCTTCTCAGGGGTTCAGTCCTTGAGAGTTTCTCTTGCATGGTCAGTGGATAGGGGACAAGGCCAAGGCCGGTGCTGCTGGCCTGGTGGCCCCTGCTCTAATTGTCCTTACAGAAGAGCCTTCTCCAAGGTTTACATTGTGTGAGAGTAGGATGGTCTGTGATCGTTACCCTGCCCTCTATCTGATCTAGAACATCTTGAACCACATGTACAAATTGATATTCACACCATTAGCCTTTGGTGCCCGGTGGCTACTTGGAGCTCGTGACTTCCCCGAGCCAGCAGGCAGTGCTCGGTCATCCAGCAGCTGGGACAGGATTCTCCAGAGAATCCCTGGACCGAGGGTGTTTGAAAAAGGAAATGTGTCTGTCACAGTCACAGAAGCAGCTTTGGGTACCTTCACAATTGAAGAAGGACCCAGTGCTTCGAACAGAAGGTGTTTGCTTCATTTGATCAAGGCTTTCCTGACTTCCGTCATCTTGTGTGATTTCCCTCAGAAAACACAGCAAACTCCACTCTGTTAGAAGCTTTGCTGCACAGCCCACAGCCGAGACCTCAGAGGCACCAAAACAGGTGAGTGCAAGCCTCAGACAGCCGCAGGCCTTTTCCCTGCTTCTTCATTCTGGGTTTGTCCACCATGCCTTCCAGCCCTGTCTTCTTTACTTCAGGGCACAGGCGGCCCTGAGCTGGCTTTGGGCTCTACACCGAACCTTTGCACAGCAAGCTGCTCTTTCATCTTTTAATCCTGAACCTCCTGAGTTTGGGGAGGCCACGTCTGCTCGGGCTGGTGGGGCTGGTGGGGCAGGTGCTGGTGTTAGCCCTGTGGGGAAGCCTTGCTGGCTGAGTCCCACAGGCTTGCACCGTGAGGCAGCGGACAGGCAACAGCAGGAAAAGTTTTCGCCCTTCCTCTTGGTATGGCAAGGGCTCGCTGACGCAGGGTCAGTGCCTCAGTATGTTTCCAGGATTTTCTCTCATTGGGACTAAGAATTTGTGTGAGGAAGGACATGAAGGTGTGTCTGTGACGCCCAGCACCAGCCCTTCACTGTCTCTTACGTGCAGTTGTCTGGCCTTCCTGGGGTCTTCATCACTTGGTCATCGCAGGCGTCTCTGCTGGCCCCTTGACCCTTGCTAGGGAAGCTGTGTGGACCGAAAAGCCATGTGCTGCGTAGACACCCTGGAGTCCCCACCTGAGATGAGAGGAAAGCGAAGTCAGTGTTCAGCTCAGGCGCTGGGGACACAGCCTGGTGGCTGGTGAAGGAACCTGTGGACCGGGAGTGTCTCACATCTTGCCTGAGCACACGGTTGCAGGCCTGGGGAGGCGAGCAGGGCCTCAAGGCGCCATTCCTTCCAGTGTCTGGAAGCCTAGGGAAGCACTCATAAACCCTGCTTCCTTGCTTCTTCTCTGCGCTCTGTAACTGTCTCCCTCTATCCCTGTCCTGCTCTCCCTCTCAGTCTCCACAGAGCACCAGCCTTACGTTTGGAGAAGGTGCCGAGTCTCCCGGTGGCCAGAGCTGCAAGCAAGCAAAGGAAACAAAAGTTTCTGCCTTGGAGTCGGGGTCACAGCAAAGCCCTGCTCTCGCCAAGAACCCCCCAGGGGGCAAAGCTGCAGACGGGACCACCTTGGTGCCGCCCGAGGAAGAGGAAGAGGAGGAGGGTGGCAAGGATGGCATCCAGCCAAGCAAACCTCAGCCCCCGCAGCCGAGCACAGGTCCAGCACCTCGGGCTGCGGGAGGCAGCAGCGCTTCCATTCCTTTCATTGACTGTAGTGACGTAGATAGTGAATACGACCTGCTCAGAGACCCAGGGTCCCAGTCCCAGACAAACGACAACTGGGAAGGTGATCTGACCAGTGGCGTTTATCTGCTCTCCAGGCCCAGGGCTTCCCCTCCCTCTCTGAAGTCCCCCCGGCCTCCTCCTGGAGAATTCCTCGATGATGATTCAGCAGATATCACATTTGATCTGAGTGGGAGCCCTGGGCTCCCAAGACATAGCTCCCTGATAGACGAAATGTTCAGGGCCTCCGCTGGCCACAGCCCCTTGGCCACCCCGCTGTCCCCCTGCAGCAGAAGCTCAAGCCCAAGTATGAGTTGGGACAGGACTGGGTCCCAAGGCTATGTTTCTGAAAATGGACACGACCCTAGGGAAAAGAGCAGGGGGGAAGGTGCGGTCCCAGAGCAGGGTCCTCCCTCTGAAAACTGCTCCCCCGTCCTGCAGAGGCCCTACTTGCGGAACCTTCCTAGTCGGTACAATAAGTCAGAGACAGATCCGCTCATCCTTAGCCAGGCAGCCCCCACTCCGGAGGCCGGGGACCGGCCTGACAGCCAGGAGGAGGAAGGGTTGCCCGTTCCTCGAGGTAGGATGCTAGCCAATGGTACCGGTCTCACAGGCCCCTCCTCAGAGTTGCCCCTCGTGCAGGCGGTGTGCCCTGGCAGTGGAGTGGGCCAGCTCGCACCTCTGCAAGGGACCGAGTCCACCAGCAGTGGGGCTGAATCGAGCGATTCGGAGCCTGCCGTGATGAGCCCTTCGAGGACATCCCTGGCATTTGGTCACCCGACAAGCCTGAGGTCCCCATCCGAGAGGAGGGGCCAGAGGGGCTCTCGCGGCCTGCGACTGAGTGAGGAGGAAGGGGAGGACGAGTGAGGACACGGGAGGCAGTACTCACAATCCAGGGCTGCCACAGAGAGCGTGTGTCCTAGCAACTTGTTCGTCTGTAGTAACATGTAGAGGAAGTGGGGCGTCTTTCTGGGTCATGCCTGACCTTTAAGGAACACGGACCTTCACACAGTGGCTGGCTCTTTGGGAAGCATGGGGCAGGGTATACAGCAAGTCTGACGAGTTACTGGAGGTTTGTTTTTCTGGTTGGAGGCAGTGAGACATGCCTTGTGAGGAGTCTGGTTGGGTGAGCAGCGTGTTATATTTATATGGTAATTTCCTGTGTGTTTGTGGCTGTGTGTGCAGAGTCCCTCCTGTTCGCTGAGGGCCTGACTGATGTGTCACTGAGATCATAAAGCGTTGCCTTTTACCTGTCTCCCCCTCTTTACAAGGGGGCCGTTCCGGGCCCTGTGAGGATGTGGACAAATCCGCGTCCAGGTGGAAGTTGATTGCCGAGATGGTCGGTAAAGTCATAGTCTAGAATAATGGGTGTTTTGCTGGGAAGAATCTGGGGTCTTCCTGGCTTCCTGTGAAATGCCGTAAAATTGTCCGAGCTCTGGAGTAGCCATTTTCCTGGGGTTGCTCAGATGGTTGGGGCTTGCTTTGCTGGGTCAGATCATGAGCTTTTCGTAGGAAGTGGCTGCTCTCGGAATCTCTTGGTGAACCAGCAATGCTCCTGAGTGGTAAGGTGGGAAACCAGTCCCCCCAGATGAGCCCTGCCGTCCGCAGCAGGTTAGCTGTTCCTGTGCCGCCTGACTGGCGTCAGCGAGCCTGTGCTCTGTCCCTGCCCTGGGTTTTACGTACGCTTGTGAACAGTGACCCACTGGGGTCACTTTCAAAGTCCTGGCAGCCTCTGCCTGCCACCCTGCCTCTACACTGTGTGTTCTGAACTGTGCCCTGGCATCCCTGAGCCATTGTCAAAACGAGCAGTGCCTGACTGTCACCCAGGAATTTGGGTCTGGTGGCCGGGTCCAGCCTGGGCTTCCCAGTGCCTCTGTGTGTGCAGACATGACGGCCGTGCCATGTAGAATCTGTGAGGATGTGGTGAGAGGTTAGCTGGAGAGCGAGGAACACACCACAAATGAAGTGCTTTTAAAAAATGCCTCCATTTGTATTTTTCAGTCTTTGCTACTTTTTAATCATAGAACAGAATTTTTAGATCCTCAGTAACTACACAATCCTGAAGAGTCGTAAAGCTGGCGCACCCTTGAGCTGGCAGGTCTCACGAGCCGCCTCCACGGCTTCGTCACAGGCAAGCTGGGCTTGCTCCGGAATGGGGGCTTGGCTCGTGCACCTCCAGAGTCTGAGCAGGAGCGCTGAGAGGCGAGTCCCGGGGTTCAGAAGGCGGCGTCCGGGCCTCTGCAAGCGCTCTCGCTGCTCCTTGATGAAGGGGGTGACGGGAGGATCAAAGCGGCTGGAGAGGGGTTGCAGGTGTTCATCCAGTAGTCTGCTCACACCCGCTCAGGTGACGTGTGCGGAGGGAAGGCCCCAAGCCTCAGGGACGGGGACAGTCTGTCACTGTGGGTGAGTGAGCTCTGCCCTGTGGACCTAGTTGAGTGACTTTGCTATAGCCACTGTCATGCCAAGGTGCTGCGACCATCCCCTCAGCCATTGACTTCACCCCTCTTCTCCTGTGATTCCTTGATGCCATGGGACCTTTCTGGCTCCACATTTTAATTTAGGAGACACCTGTCTGCATGTCTAATGAAAATTAGATGTGAAAATCTTCAAGACGAGACAGTTAAAAGCGAGCAGCTGCTCTTCGTGCGGGGTGTGTTGCAGTGTCACATGGTTTTGTACCTTCTGTCTGGTCCTGGAAAGGCGTCAGTTTGCTGCAGAAAGGCTTTGTCAGGTGGGAGGCCAGCAGAGTCAGGTCCAGTGTTTTCATTGTGATGAGGGTTTGATTAAAGGACCTTTCCTTGTTGCTGCGTCTATAGAAGCCTGTTCTACAGGAATGAGAGAGCCCTGTTAGCCTTGTAATCGACTGTACAGAACCAGCGCGCATGGCTCTGGAGAGGCACGCGTGTTGTTACAGTCATTCGCTTTTGCCTTTCCCTGCTGTGTGAGTTTGTCTCCCTGTGTCCAAGTACCTGACCCGTCCTTGTGTGCCCAGGCCTCTCACCAGTTCTCACTCATGCTGCAGTACAGAGGGTTTTCTCCTCGTTTGTTTTGTGACAGCCAAGCAGTTTGATTTCCTCTTCTTAGCTAGTATTTGCGAAGGCGACAGTCCCGGCAAATCAATAGTGTCTAAAAGGACTGGGGGCCGGTGTATTCCCACACCCCATTTCCTGTCCGTGAGAGTAGTCACTGTCCTTCTGGGAGCTTCTCTTCCACTCGTGGACATTCCAGAATGGTAGAGAATGCGCGTGCCTGAAGGGAGCCGAGTGCCAGGGCTGCCTTGGCGACGCTCTCCTCGCTGTCCTGTGCAAGCTCAGAAAGAGCCAAGGCCCTTCCAGAACCTCCCAGGCTCTGACCGTGGAGGCCTCAGGCCCAATCCGAAGCCCACCAAAGCCCCAATTGCAGACTTACAAAGGGCCTACATTTGTGTAAAGTTGAACTAAGGGGAGGAAGGCCAATGGTGGAGTTGGGGATGAAGAAAACGAAGAGGCTAGAGCCAGGTGGACCGTTGATTTCCAGAGGACATTCTTGAGGCCTTTCAGTCCCTCCACACGGCAGTGAACACGGTGCAGGGCTCAGGACTGAACAAGGAGCGTGGGCCCTTGGGCCCTGTCTGCTCACAACTGCTCTTTAGAATGGTCTCTAAAGGCCAGGGAAGGAGGGCAGCGAAGCACAGAGCTCAGGGCCTCTCACAGCTCTCCAGGGCCCTTCACGTCATGATGTTCGGGTGGATTTTACGCTGAAATATGTCTGCACCCTTTCGTGGTTCCCATGTTGATCTTTGTGACGAGCAAACTAAGCATGAAAAACGCGCTTAATGAGCTACAGAGCCTGAGAGAACGGCTCCAGCTTAGACGAGCATTTAATTAGAGGACATTTGTGGGCCAGATTCTTTCCTCCATGTGTGAATCATATTCAGGAATTTTTCACACATCTCTCTCCCCGCTCATGCTGTTTGGCCTGTCCTTAAAATGTGAGTAATAATGATTTTTTTTCCCCCCTGCTCAAGAACATCTTTGAAAATTTAAACCAAGTAATACTTTAAAAAAGAACAAAAAACGCCCAAAGAACAAAAATGCAGGTCAGTCCTCGGGTGCTCTGAGGGGAGCACTGGCCTGCAGTGCCCTAAAGTTAGGAATAAATTCAGATAGGAATCCTTTTTTGCAGTGGTAAAGTGACAGTAACTGGCTGCGTTTGTTTTCCTGTCTGGAGCCGCTGACCCTGTTCGTTTAATCAGCACCCCGCAGTTCTGGCGTCCCAGTGCGGCTTGCACCAGCCAGCTGTGGCCCTCAGTGGCAGACTCCAAGGTTAACTTCGACGTTGGCTGACCGTGCTTCTGTCTTGATCGCTTGGCTTTACTGGGGCCCTTTCCTCGGTTAGTTTGGAGTCCTCACTCACCCCCTATGGAAACTGTCTCCTGGCCCTCCCTCTCAGTGTGCAGCCTGCGCCTCCGAGCCTCCATGCTGCCTTCAGCACATTGCCTGCTCACGCCTGTTGTGTTGCTGAATCCTGCAATCAAGAGCTTTCAGAACAACCTCATGCTTAACCACTGCCTTTAAATCTGAAGCGTGGACTGAGCTCCCCGCTGGCCGAACCCAGCACACACAGCGGACAGACGTGGCTGGCAGCTCCTCTGAGCAGGGCTAACTAAAGTCGTTGACTGTGGTGACACTGAAGAGCTATTTCCTTGTTCCTCACTTCCTTCAGACAGGGAAATGAGCTCACCAGAGACCGTGAACACCAGGTACTGGCCATCAAAACCAAGGCCTGGCATTCAGGCCGATTTAGCACACATTTACCACCAGGTTTTGTTTGGCTTCTTTTAACTAAAGAAGTAATAACGAAAAGCATCACAATTCTGTGCTGTGCAGATGTGGAGGCAGCCCAGACCACAGGTCCTCCTGGCCTGGCTGCCTCCAGGTGCACAGAAAGCTGTGT